ATATTTACGATTTATATTTTTATAGTTATTTATTTATATATATATATTATATATTTTGGGGTTAGGCTTGCACTGTATAATATGTTTTGTATTAATATGTTCTTGAGTTTTTTTGAAATATATATATATATATATATATATATATACATGTATTAATTCAACCTTAATCTGAGTTTCTGGACAAGAAAAATGGCAAACAGTTGAAATTTCATTCTAAAACCCATCTTTTTTTTGTCTTTTTATGACTTATGATCTGTTAAATTTGTAGTTTTCTTTATTGGTTTTGAGTGTTTATCTTAAAACTCAAGTTTCTTGGTTTTTTGCTCTTGGTGTAAATCGAATACATTTGTGGAGTCGTTTAAATATGTTGGATTTTAAATATATTGGATTTTAAACTGTCATGCAATTTTTTTCATCGATAGTCTGTAATTGGAATCATAACTCTTATTTATTCAAATTGTATAAATATGTAAAAACCAAGTGTAACATATATCATCGTTAAATCTTATCTTATAAAACCAGTGGAACTTCAAAATCGTTAAAATTCATGGCTCCCGCTGCATTGCGCGAGTACACAACTAGTTATTATGTATAAGACTAATTCAAGTATGCGTTCATTTTTATTTTTGTTGAGATTTTAGAATTTTGTTTTATTTTTATTTTTCTCTTCTATAATTTTCTTAAGTTTTCTTAATGAAAATGAGGGTTTGTTCTTGACAACACTTTTAGAGTTTTCATGACAATAATGGTTTGTTTAATGGTCCGACAATGGAATCTTAAAAGTAGGTAACAACACAATGTTTGTTTGGTGAATATAAATATTTTATGAGTTTATATGTAAAAGACAAATTGATATTATTATGACTAAACAATTCTCATAATACACCTTATATGATTATAATCAATATTTTCACATATTTTTTTTATGATTTTGAACTGATCACAAAGTTTGATATAATAAAATAGTGATATATAAGACTTATTAAACACACACACACACATATATATATATATATATATATATTAAAAAAACAACCAATAATGATAAGGTGGATTTATATATCAAAGGTAATATTGATTCTTATTAGTTTAATATATAATGTGATCATAAACTCATTTAGCTAACTTTAATAATTTTAAAAAGAATTATTGTCACCATGGCGTCAAACACTAGTATAAATAGTTACATAATAACTCACCTCTCTCTATAAAACAAAATCACATTATGAGCACAGTTAGGTGTATTTAATTATTTGAATTACAATGTGGTCCTATACGTTATGTTTTAATATCGTCTTTTTTTGTCTTTACAAAAATATTTATGTTTTGCTTTATCTCGAAAATATCTTAACCCAACCTTGGTTGCCGATATTCAACTCACTTTACTTACTTTTCCCACCTATCATCATCATTTAAAAACCTCTATTTTTGTATTTTTAATGTTTCTATTGTTCGGTCTAAAAAAGGTGGCATGGGGACGAACATGCCAGTTGTTGAATAAGTGGTCTATAATGATTAAAAAGTTTTTATGATACTGTATAAAATAAAATATAATTGTTTGATAATTATTTAGAAGTTTTTAGAATCATAAAAAAAAAACTTTTTATAAATTCAAAACGATTCTAACAATTTGTAAGCATTGTAATCTAATTTTGAATTCTGAGTGATGATCCCTATGGTTTTCATAATCTATATTATCTTATAAAGCAAATTTAATAAAAGTCTTAAAGTCTTAAAATACTAAATGACCAAGATACCTTTTATATCACTTTTTTACCTTCTCCTCTCCTCACATATACTCGCCCCCTCATATACACTCACCTCTCACAACCCTTTTTTTTTTAAATTATAATTTTAAATTTACACTTTATACCCCTATAATTAGTTAATTAATTTACTTTACGTTCTTTACTTTTAAATGTTTCATTT